CGGTAAAGCCTCAAGAGCTAGAACACTATCAATGATACCCTCTTCCTTAATACAATGATCTTCACCAAAATCGGTCATGTTCAAGGATGTAGTGAGGCTGTGTTCTAGAGGGTCATTGTAGGTTACTTCTTGAAAAAATTCCTTGATGCAAAACTCTACCACTTTCACCCGGTGACATGTTGATTTCTCTTCCGGAAATCTCATTGTGTTAAGGATGTTGAACTTTACTTCCTCATTATTCACTCTTAAAGTCAAATTACCACTTTGCACATCGATCAACGCTCTTCCGGTAGCCAAAAAGGGTCTCCCTAGGATGATGGGAATTTCTCGATCCTCTTCCATATCCAACACAACAAAATCAGCGGGAAAAAAGAATTTATCCACCTTCACCAACACGTCCTCTATGACACCCCTTGGATAAGTGAGAGACCTATCCGCCATTTGCAAACATATGGTAGTTGGTGTGACTTCCCTAAGTCCAAGCTTTCGAAAGACGGACAGAGGCATAAGATTGATGCTAGCTCCAAGACCACACAAGGCCTTCTCGAAGTGAGAATCTCCAATAGTACACAGAATAGTGAAACTCCCAGGATCTTTCAACTTTTGAGGCAACTTCCTTTGAAGGATATCGCTACACTCTTCCGTTAGTTTAACGGTCTCATAATCCTCCAACCTCCGCTTCTTTGCCATGACATCCTTCATAAACTTGACATAATTAGGCATTTGTTCAAGTGCATCCGCAAAGGGGATGTTGATATAGATCTTCTTAAAAATCTCTAAAAACTTCAAAAATTGAGCATCCAACTTCTTCTTCTTGAATCTTTACGGATACGGAAGGGTAGGAGCGATGAGAGGAGGATTATCCAGAAAAGAGATTGACTTAGGCCTTGCACTTTCCTTCGGTTGCTCGGTTCCTACCTCTTCTTCCTCGATTTTATCCTCTTGGGGCTTAGGAGCCTCAACTTCTTTCCCACTTCTCAAGGTGATAGCCTTGCAATGGTCATTGGGATTAGGCTCCGTATCACTTGGGAACTTGCCAGATGATTGCCCCTTAACCGTATTGGCTAGTTGACCGATTTGTACCTCAAGAGACTTCATGGTTGCATTCATGTTGTTATAATGTGTCTCAATGTTGTCAAGTCTAGCCTCATCCTTGTTAAACCTCCCTCTAGTCTCAACAATGAATGTACTCAACAAATCTTCCACAGAAGGTTTCTTTTCCACCACTTGTTGGTTGAAACCCGGAGGAGGTTGCAAAACATTCCTATTGTTGGCATAAGAGAAATTCTCATGGTTCCTCAAGCCAGGATGATAGTGGTTGGGCAATTGATTGGGCTTATAGTTAAAGTTCCTGTTGTTCACAAACTGAACCTGCTCCTGAGTGTACTCATCCTGTGCAAAAAGTGTACTGGCACCTGCCACTGCCTCTCTGCTAGATGACGCTTCTCTGTTAGTCAATGCTGCAATCTGATTTGACAAAGCTGAAACCTGTGCTGACAATGAAGTTAACGGATCCACCTCGTGAATACCAGCAGTTTTCTTCGGTATTGAACGCTCTGAAGGCCATTGATAGCTGTTGGTAGACATTTCTTCAAGCAAATTGTAGGCCTCTGGAATAGACTTTGCCATCAATGATCCACTTGCAGTGCTATCAACAATAGTCCTCGATTGGCCATTCAACCCATTATAGAACCTGTCAATCAGTATCCACTCATCATACCCATGCTGAGGACATTTTCTGAGCAAGTCCTTGAACCGTTCCCAAGCTTCATACAACGGCTCAAAGTCATTTTGGTAGAAAGATCCAACCTCACTCTGCAACTGGGATGCCTTAGATGGTGGGAAGAACTTTGCAAGAAACCTCTTAGTCATCTCTTCCCAAGTGCCAATACTCCTCGTCGGCAGTGACATCAACCATTGTCGAGCCTTGTCCCGAAGAGAGAATGGGAACAATTTCAACCTGATGGTGCCCTCAGTGACACCATTAATCTTTACCGTGTCAGCCGCTTCCAAGAACATGGACAAGTGAGTGTTCGGGTCCTCATTGGGCAATCCCCCAAACTGATTCTGTTGAACCATCAAGATCAAGGAAGGCTTCAGCTCAAAATTGTTGGCATTGACAGTCTGCCTCCGAATACCTGAATAGTGTTCCTGAACTGGGGGTTTGAAATAATCCCGAATTGCCCTCTGTTGCTCAATATTATTGTTATTATGATTCTGATCACCCATAGCTCGTGCTTGATTTCTCTTTTCCTTTCTAATTTCATGAATTGTCCTTTCAATCTCTAGGTCAAGAGGTAATAATTCCAAGCTATGGGCTCTTCGCTTTCACCTTCAAGAACAAAAAGGCAAACAAGCAAACAAAAATTTAAAAGAATTTAAAGACAAAAATAAAATAAAATAAAATAAAAACGTCTAAATTAAAGCAGGCTACGTCGTCACAATATTAGCCAAGTTTTAACAACAACCAATCCCCGGCAACGGCGCCAAAAACTTGGTCGATGGGAAAATAACACCTATTTTCTACTCGCAAGTGCACGAGGTCGACAAGTAATAAAGTAGTGAGTGAGTGTCGTGTCCCACGAGGATAGTGTTCCTAAAATCTAGCTACGTATCACAACTAGAATAACCCAGTTTTATCTAGACAAGTCCAATCATGAGAATGAGATCAATCAAAATAAAAAATAAAATGCTAAACTAATTAGACGAGCAAATTAAACAATGGAAGAAACTTTTGGGATCGAAGGGAGCTCTAATGATAAGGTAGCTAGGGTCCTTGATTTCACCTTGCCTAATTGTTCTAATTCTTTTTTAATGCTATTGATTTCTCTCAAGCCAAACACTAATCATGAATTTCCTAAAATAATCCAACTCCCTCTCTCGAGTGTCGAGTCAAATATATACAAAATCACCTAATTAATATCCCTATTAATTAAGTTAATTGTGCATTCATTAAGCTCTAATTCATTTGTGATTACCTAGCTCATATTCATCTCTCGACTCCAATACTCACTAGGCTGTGTTCAATAAATCCCAACATGTGCAAGTGACTCTCTCAAGCCTAAATCCACATATCTAAATCTTCTAATTAATCTTTCAATTTATTAAAGCATTAAGCAACGAAGAGCACAAATGTTTGGGCATGGAAAACATCAAATAGCATCAAATATTCATAGCATAATCGTAGCAAGGTTACATCAAGCCCCCTAGCATAAGAATCTAGCCACACATCAATGTAAACTCAAATATATTCAAGATTAAACAAATCTGAAAATACATGATAAATTCGCAAAAATAGAGAAAATACTAAGTCTAAGAACAAGAGAAAGGGAGAGGAAGAAAAATAAAACTCAGTGTAGTCCAGCTTCCAATCTCCAAGAACTTCCTCTGATTCCCCAGAAAAACTAGGGTTTTCTCCTCTCTGTCTGCTGCCCCCAAAAACTAGGGTTTTCACTTTTTGTCTCTGTTCCTCTCCAAACTCCCTTCTGCCCTCTGTATTCTTTTGCCCGGCCAAATTCTATAGGCCCCCCTCAGAGCACGCGGGCGCGCGCCTGAAGTTGGCGGACAGCGCGCGGGCGCGCGTCTGAAGTAGGTGGAACTACGCCTAGCGCGCGGGCGTGCGCCTTAAATCGCGCGGGCGCGCTGGGGGG